AGTATACACTACCTAGGTAATAACACTACACTGAATTGTTTTACATGTTCACCTTACAGTTTAATACACACTACCTAGGTAATAACACTACACTGAATTGTTTTACATGTTCACCTTACAGTTTAATACACACTACCTAGGTAATAACACTACACTGAATTGTTTTACATGTTCACCTTACAGTTTAATACTCTACCTAGATAATAACACTACACTGAATTGTTTTACATGTTCACTTTACAGTTTAATACACTACCTAGGTAATAACACTACACTGAATTGTTTTACATGTTCTCATTACTGGGTAACACTCTACCTAGGTAATGGAACTACACAACATCAATTGAGTTTTCAAACCTTCCGTCATTTGTATTGTAACACATGTCCATACAAGTTTTTCAGCTTTTAAGATCGGATACAATTTAATAAAATGTGGAGAATTAGAATAAGTCAGTGAATGAAAGGGTTTTGTTGGTGACTAACCAACATTTCATGATGTAGCTTAGGGCTTTTTCATTGAATTTAGTATACACTTGAAGTTTTTCTATTGTTTGTTAAATTAGGTGTAAAATAAATGCCTGTTGTTATACAGAGGATAATAATAAATATGTGCTCTACAATGATTTAAGTCTTGCTTTTATAACTGTTTCAACAGTGCACACCATTGCTATAATGACATAATGCAACGATGGGGTCACTTTCAAATGTTCTTTCAAGGTTACTGTCATCTCAATTAATTACTGCATAGATGGCCAAATGGTGGGCCGAACACAGCCCTTGAAAGTATTTTATCTGTCTCCTGTTGTTTTTTTAAAAAACCATATCTTATTTTTGCTAAACTGGCGAAACAAAACTGTGCAGTTCTGATAACTTTCTTCGAATGTTAACTATTTATTAAAACCATATAATTAACTGAGTGTCTGTAGTGGACAGTAGGAATTAGAATTTAAATAAGAAGTATTCTAATATACTTTACCTGGTCGTACAATTTCTGCCCCCAGACTCTAGTTTAGGTAAGAATAAGCTAAAATAAACAAGTTGGGCACCCCTAAATTACTCTAATAAAAAAGAGGGAAATAGTTAAACTTAAACTCAGGGAACTCATAGTAAATTTTATTGGTCAATTCAAATTATAACACATGGATTATAATGAATGTTTTGTCTCATTTTTTGCATTGAGTATTTTTAGCTAAATTTTGAGTACGAGTTGTGTTCTGAAAATTTAAGAAGTAGATTTAAGTAATTTCTTTGCCCAAATGTGTTAAATTCTTTATTTTACACTAACAACAATAAACAAAAAACTGTTTAATAATTTGTTTTATTCATATCCCATAGCCAAGCTTCCTGCCAGTAATTATGATATAGTGAGGTTATTTAAAATGATTCAGCCACTGTTACAAGATGCAGTACAAAAAAAGACTATGCAAGGGATGTGGGAAGTGACCTATACTGTATCAGGCCCTTTAACATGGAGGCAGTTTCACCGCTTAGCAGGGAGAGGTATGCTTTCTAATCTCATTTAATATTTAAAACACTATTTTAGTGCTATTAATTTTTATTCATTAATTGTGTAACAAAACAATGTCTTTTATTAATCCTGCCTGATAGGCTTTTGTGATTCTTTATGCATGTCAAGTTGATTTTCCAAGTGGATATTTTACCATTTTCTAACTTTTAACACTTCTAAACGAAGTTAGAGTTTATGTATTACTGTAGGTCAAAAATAAAGCTTGTTTAGCTTATACACTGATTTATCTTGTACCTAATCAACCTGCAAAGGCTGGATCCTGCATGATTTATATATGTTGTTTACTTGACCATTGTATTTAAAAGTCTATTTGCTCATGCAACAGCCCAGCAGTTTCAATTTCAACTGGAGGAAACTTGCAATATATAAACCAGTCAATGTTTTTTTGCTCAATACTTCTTTCCAATCTCAGTTGCTTTTTTAAGTACTTGGCATGAAGTGGGTGCCTTCTGAGTGAACTCATGGATATGCAGATTTAGGTTCAAGTGAATTTGAGTGTGTAGTTTCAGGTGATTTCTCACATGTCTGTATGTCTCTGTTTGTTGATTGGTGCAAATATTTTTCATCCATTTCCTTCACTTGTGAATCTACAGATATGACCAAACAACATTTTCATACATTTACAATATTGTTACCATGGAGTACTAAGACCTTCTGTTTGCTACCACACAGTGCGGGGAGCTTCTAGTTGCTATCACACAGTGTGGGAAGCTTCTGTTTGCTACCATACAGTGCCAACAGTGGTGGATTGAGACACCTTGGGTCCCTGGGACAGTGAATGATATGGGTCCCCCTCATACATATTATTTTTGTTGTTCAAGACAACTGTTACTTCATAGTTGAGTATACACCTTGGTCTGTAGATGTGTGAAGGTTTTGTGTTTCCAGTTTACCTCCTCCTCTGCCATGCATGGCATTCTTAGATGGGGAGGAGACGATTCTAGTGGTTGAGAGGGGTCATTGATGGGTCAGATTATGTCAGTGGCTCTTTAACACATCACTTTGGCTTTGAATTCCTGTAGATGAATGGCCTTTGGATGGCTCCCCCAGGTTCAATCGGCTCGTCCTGTTGGGCTAGGGTCAACTTAGTGCCAGTATTGGATGCTATCAATAAGTATTGTGAACATTGTGTCTAATGCTAGTGTTTGGGTATAGTGCCCACGAAACCCTGGTGTAGCTATTTTTGTCAATGTTTGACATTAGTGTATTCTCTTGTATGGCTCCATGGTGGGTGGGGTCAGTGGGCACTGAATTTTCTCTATTTTTATGAATCCTGCACCCAGTGGCCCAAAAAAATACAATAAAAAAAACCTCATCGATAGGAACGTGACTACATTTGGAAGTGACTGAATAGCAGTCATGACCCGTTCTGTTCTTGTACCTCATTTTTATATTCAGAATGGAATAAAGGAGCTTGCTGGCTCTCCAAAGTCAGTTAAGAAGCTATGTTTTGGGGACATCTTGGTGGAAACATCTATACATCAAAACACAGTGAACTCCTGAAATCAAAGGCAATTGGGATTATTTGAGGTTATTCCCCATGCAACTTTGAATTCCTCACGAGGAGTTATTGTTGAGAAGGATTTAAGAAACATCCCATAGCTGGAGATCTTCGCTGGTTTCTCCAGCCAAGAAGTTTCTACTGTGCGACATATCTCCACTCATAAAGATGGAATTATGCTGCCTACTAATGTTCTTGTATTGATGTTTATATCACAACATCTGTCTGCCACTGTCAAAGCAGGTTATCTGAACTTTAAGGTATGGCTTTATATTCCTAACCCTCTCAGGTGTTTATAGTGTCAGTGGTTTGGACATTCAAAGGCATCCTCTCGTATTTCTTTGTGTGCTTGTTGTGGTGGCATGGCAAGACCATGACACCTACGAGTGTCAACTGGACCCTCACTGTGTCAGTTGTGGCAATTCTCACCCATCATACTTTTATTCTTACCCTAAATGAGTAGAAGAAAAAGAGGTTCAATGTTTATCTCCTGTAAAAACATCTATTATCCCAAAGCCCAGAATTTGTTGCCCCTAATTCCATCATGACATATGCTGCTGCACTCCATTCCACTGCTATGTTTGGAGTGCAGACAGATCTTTCTGTACCTCCATCAGAGTCTTTCTCTCATCTTGTCAAGAGTCTTTTGCCCTCTATGGATGCATGAGTTGACAAGTCTACGTCTGCTCCTGTCTCTGTCCCCCACTATCGCTTTCAGTGACTGTTTGGGTTCACCTCCTTTGGCCTCGAGGTGCAGAACCATTATTTGGTCATGCCCTCAGTCACTGGAGTCTTCTTCTACTGACAGAGATCTGCCCAATCATCCTAGAGCAGGTTTCATAAAGTTCAATAGACCTCTTTCTGCTAAAGACAAATG